CCCCCCCCCTCCCCCTAAAAATAGAAGAAAAAAAAAGAGATTAGTGGGGCTTAGATTTACCTGCATGGTACAGAGCCCGCGCCCCACGGAGCAGAGTCCCGGGAAACTCTGGCACGGGTTCATGTTCTCAGCTGTGCACGTCACTGACGTCCGGGGTCCCACCAGTGGCAACAGCAGCTCCCCCTGGGATGTTGCAGCGGTCAGTGTGACGGTGAGAATGGTCAGCAACAGAAAGTAGCGGAAAACTGCAGTTGTTGTCGTGGTGGTCATCTTTGTTAGTGTATCAGGTTTTAGGGATGGGTGTTAAATTAAAATTTGACTTCAATTGGGGCTGGGGTAACTAAAGTATGGTAGCACTCACAATTCTTGTGGGTTTTTAAAAAAAACAACTATGACGTCAAGTGTAGGAGAATGATTATAATGGGAAAAATGTCTTTTTATTCACACGATTCACACGTATGACTTATACAGTAACGTTGCCGGCTGGCGTTGAGGGAGATAGAGGAACGGGAACCTCGTCTTGGGTTTCCTGGCCAAAGTCTCTTCCTGGGAGAAAACGTGATTTATTACACGTTGGCGTGTACGTTTTCTTTAGCAAGTCTTATCCAAATTGTCTTTCGGGTTGCTTTTCTTCTTCTTCTCGTTTTTATAGGAGGAAAAGACTGGGTGTCTTTACTCTCACCGCTCAGTCACAATCATTTAGTTTTCGTGTGTCTCCAGTCGGCCTATCTCTCAACTTGTCACTCTCTCGTGTCCGAGAAAATCGCCGAAGTACGCAGCAAGTACAGATTGCAGAACGTTGCCGGGGTGAGAAAATAATCTGAAGGGATGGAGCTTGAATGTGTTCTTGCGTGATGTTCTCGTGTGGGTGGGAAGACGGAGAGTCGGTTAATGGCTGCCGTTCCGTCTAAATATCGGAAACGGCTGTTTCGGTTGTGGCGCCCTGTTGTTGTGTTACAGCGTTTTTAAATGGAGGCCAGTCGTCGCGCTCTATCGTCGTTACGGGAGCTGTGGAAAAAAAAGAAAATGCGAGAGTTGAATAAATACAATGTACTTACAAAAATCAGTTCTGTTGTTTGTTGTTGTAGTTGTTATTGTTGTTGTTGATGATGATGATAATGATGATGATGATGATGATGATGATGATGATGATGATGATGATGATGATGATGGATGATGGTGATGGATGATGATGAAGATGTCAACATCACACAACATGACAGTCTTTCCCCCCCAGATTTTATTGCTAGGGCCTCATTGACTAAGCGAGCTTAAACATCGTGTGACTTTGTCTGAAGTTTGAAGCAGTTGTTGTGTCATAATTAATACAAACAGATTTCTCTTTCAAATTTCTTTTGGATTGGTAAAAGAAAGTTTTGAAAGTAAACACGAAGGATAGTGTATTGTGAGGTTTAGTTCCTTGGGTGGACACTGAAGAAAAATGCTGTTACAGTATTTTCCCCCTTTTTTTAACAGCACCCCCACCTCGAAGCTATTTCAATTTTAGATGTGAATATGTGAGGCAGCGTAGTGGAATCAGGCTCTCGTCAATTTTTGGGCATGTTGAGTTATTGGTATCATCTTAAAGCTTGTTCGTTTGTCTTTATTTGGTTGAAAAAAAATATCCATTTATCTTGAATACAAGTCGAGATATTTGTGAAAGAAAAATATTGGAGTCACTTCTTTTCAGAGGTAAAATTAGTGAGAAAATGGCCGCCAAAGATTAGTTATTTCCTTAAGTTAAGGGTCCGTGGTAACTGAAAATTTACATTTTTTGTGCGTTTAATCAACGTTTTTCAGAAAAAATCCACACAGAAATGATTGCTTTAATGGGCATGAAAGGTGTTGAGCCAAAAAAACAAATATCTGGTAAAAACTCACAAAAATGCGGAAAAATGCAATTTTCTTCACTTTGATTATTTTGACGAGAGCCTGATTCCACCATGCTGCCTCACGTATACTATTTCTATAAATAAAATAGATGTCGGTAAACGTCTACTTGAGGATCCCGAGGTTAAAATAAGCTAAACACGCCTTCGTACGTGACGTCACATCGACCTACATCTGGCCCTACAGAGAGTGGAGGTTCCAGATGTGTGTAGTTGGTCAAACAACCTCTGAATGGAGGGCTTAAGTAGACTTTTACAATCCCAAACATCTACTCTAATGGGCAGCATAAATAGTTAGGAAAGGCGACAGTAGCGAAAACAATTTTATCACAAATCCGAAGAATCCAACAGATAAGAAAACAACTGAAGGCTTCAGGTGGAAATTGCATTAGTCGTTGGGAAACAATTGAAGACAACTCTCTTTGTTTTACATGTTCATGGTATGGATTCTGCTGTTCTTCCATTCTTCGACCGTTTTAAATATGTCCCTTGTACTTGACAACAGCGTTTCTGATAAAAACGGTATTTACGGACAAAATGGAACAAGTCAAGCAACAGATGAAAACAAAGGCATAAATTAAAATTTTTAACCAAAGCCATTGTCATCTGCACTCTTTAATTTTAGTCTTCAGTTACGTGAGTAAAATTAGGCAGCTATGTCTTTCTGGTGCGTCCACTTACCAAAGTATGAAAAAAATTTAACTTTCACAATGGCGTATTAACTTAAATCTAGAACAAATAAATGTACTCTTTGATAGTCGATGTCCGAAAGAATCTTATGCCCTGAAACTGTGCTCATATTTTCCTTAATATATGATAATTTACGCTGTCTGTTGTAATAGATTCTAAGTATTGAGCCCTATGTTGCTCCATGTTACATTCCTAGGCCAATCATTGCTCTCAATATTGGAGAATACACTTTACAGGTTAGGAGGGTACCTGAATACTCCTAGCGGATATAAAATGTATTTCCTTCTCAACTCGAGTGTTTCCTTGTTGATATACCTTTTAGAATATTATGAGAGTTTGAATTTAGAGGAAAGCCTGTCCGTTTTGCTGGAAATAATCATCACTGAGTTCAGCGTCATTGCTAAAACCACACAACCACTCCTTTTCCTCCTTACACCACAAAACTTAAAGTTGAGAGGCAAGGCATTGCGGAGCATGGCCTAATGTCACATTTCACCGAGCTGCTCCCCTCTTACAAGCAAAAACCATGCCGAATATTTCATCCGTCCCATGCCCAGGCGGAAACATTACGATCAAGGCCTGCTTGCTTACCTGGTTGTCGTGCACACAATGTCGCGTTGAACCGCTTCACAGGTTTTGAACTTTCCCCTAAAACTACGACATAATTTATGAAGCTATACGACGCGTGTGTGCAGTTTTTTTCCTCCCCCTTCTCACGTTGTTGTTAATTTTAAGTCGACTTGACTCATTTTCTGGCTATTTGTGGAAACAGAGACGGTGCATTTACTATAATTAGAAACAATAGTTGTCAATCATCCCTTGCTGTCATGGAGTAGAAAAGAACATGAAAGTTTCATGCTCTTGCGTAACCTTTGTAAACTGTGTACGTAATTAATACCAGAGGAGGATGATTTATTCAATATAAAGATTTCTGACAAAGAGATTACGTATCTCCGTGTGGTCCCAAGTCCCTTGTAAAAAGGAATTAAGTCGGACTCTTTGGGGACGCGCATTCTTCTCACTCATCAACGCATGAAGACACGCTATTTGGGGACACGTATGAAAAAGAAGCTTAACTTCGTTTGTATGCATGTTTGTTTGTTTTGTTTGTTTGTTTGCGTAAAGAGAAGCAATCGACGCAGCAATGGTCTTTTAGTACTGGGTTAAAGTAAAACAGACAGACAGACAGACAGAAACAACAGATGGAAAGGAAAAACAGTGGCGCCCATCAACCACCCACCATAACTTCGTTATTCATGCAGATATTTTCAGTTCTGACTTAGAAAAGCAGACTATGGAAGATGCAAATTCGTGATTCCGATTTGTGCATGATGGATTGAAGTGTGTTTCCGCATTGCCTTTTTTTAGGTGGTGCCAATTGGCATCATCAGTTCGGTTCGGTTTTGTCTTTTTGTGTGTGTGTGATTGTGTCGGTTAGATGCTAGCCAGGGCAAAACTGTCGAAACTGACAAAACCGATGATAACTTTTAATAACAATTAATGCGTTTGATTTCCTGGCCGTGCGTAAGGAGATCGGTTTGGGCAGTTGGTCTATTTAAAGACTGCATTGAAGCCGTCACAAAACGAACCAAACCGAACATCGGCACAATAACGATCATCTAGTGTTGGGGAAACGTAAGACAGACAGAAACAAGAGCCGGAGAGTAAAGAAGTGGTACCCACCAGTGGCACCCTCCAATCACCCGCAGTAGAATGACATATTAGACAAAATGCGTCGATCCCTATCTATCTATCTATCTATCTATCTATCTATCTATCTATCTATCTATCTATCTA